CTGCTGAACTGTGGCATTTGGTGAAAGGTCGCTGGGTCCAGTTTCAGCCGGTGCCATCCAAGCGACTAACCTTTCAGATCAGTTAGAAGAGGTGTCACCTTTAAAGCACAGGGCTAGCCTATACGCCAGTGGAAGTGTGAATCATCCCTGAGAGCTCTTGTGTAATCTTTATATTAGAGGCAAAATCTCCCATGGATCTGTCAAATTGAGGTGTTTATTTTTTCAACCTTTCTATGCTGTTCCAACCCATCTTACTGCATGGTTCTCAGGCTTATAAAGAATCATATATTTTTGAAACAATCTGATTTCTCCCTCCACCTCCCACCCCCCTTAAATAGTAATTATTTATTTAGCTTAATCATTCCGTTTAATCCTTCAGGTTTTTTCATTCAGTAAGATCATGGTATTTATCAAAACAGGGTAAAGTTTTCATGCAACCCAGTGTTGTCAGTCTTGTGCCTTTATCCAAGTTTTATTCTTTTATTTCTCTTCTTGCTCCACTGTTGGCTGCAATATTTCTGGAAAGCTTGGGTGTGGAGTCTGTGTTCTTTACGAATTACTGTAAGTTAAGGTCTTACTGAAGGAGTGTTATTTGTGCAGCAGCTCAAAGCATTGTGCTTTATACATATATACATACTTCATACATACTAAGAAGTATCCAGTACCTGTAAAAAGCATTGGGGGATTTTTCAGCTAAAAAAAAAAAAAATAGAAAGAGGCAAACAATGGACTTACTAGCTCTGAGAACACCCTTTGAACCACTAACTCCAAAACAAACTTTCTGTTAGAAGATGATCTGAACTTTGCCTTTTTGGCCAGTGTAAAAGATCAGTTGGAATCAACAGTAAAGAAGACCTGCACGTGATGTTTTGACAAATGTTAGAAGCCATAGGCCAACCGGCACCCCATTTCTTATTTGCTAAATTGATTTGGTATCCTGATGGTATTCTAGCTACACAGCAGAGAGATTTTGCATTGAAAGCATTTTAGTACTGGTCAGGCTGACATCTGCCATGATGATGAAATAATGTGCAGAATGTAATGGCTCTACTTTAAGACAGCAGATCGTTTTGCATGTATAATGTGAAACCTGTCTCCTTCTTTTATTAATAGCACCATGTGCTGTCCCAGAGCTTCCTAAATACATTATACTTTGGTTTTGTACAAAGTATGTTTGAAGAAAGAAAGTCTCCTAACCTGGCAAAAAGTGCTCTGGAATATTTGTCCCATGATCTGAATGGTATCGTATGCTTTTGAGTAGATCACAGTGGTAGAAAAGAGAAAAAGAAATCATTGAGATCACTTTCTTCTTCCACCATTGCCTTAGAGGATGTAGTGCAAAATCTGCCTGTTGCTCCACCTGAGGAGCTCTCTTGCCAGTCCTTCCCCCTCCTTGGAATGAGACTTGAAAAACATCCCCAAAGCTAAGTACACTGGATGCAAGCAGCACTGAGCTGGTGTTCAGTGCTGTCAGTCTTTGAGACCTTTGCTTGAGGCTGGTTTCAAAATAGAAAACTTTAGCATTCAAATCTCTTTACAGCTCTCCAAGTAATGTGTTGCTCATAGGTGAAGAAATGCTTTTAGGAAAATCCAGATAAACGCTAACAATTAAAAAGGAATGCAAAGGGAAATCCGAACTCCTTGCCTACGGCTGCTCTTCCTATTAACAAAAATAAAAAGCCAGGTATATGTTTTGTTACTGAATTTTGTTTCTGTCTTTCTGACATGATTTTAGTGTGGCAATTTTGGTTAAAATGAATGATAACAATGAAACTCAATGAAACTTTTCTCCTTTAACTCCACATTTTCTTGTTTTGTTTGTGGTCTTTCCAGATGTTCTGCTTAAAAATAAGAGAGTGCTGCTAAAAAGTAAAGTGAAGGCTACAGCATATAATTCTTTTTACTGCCTTATCTGAGTGGGAAGATAGTGCTGTAATTAAAAACTGTAATTCCAGTGTTCCAGATAGCATATACCTAGTTCACTGACATTTCTGTCTACCTTCGCATTAGCTTCATGTGACTCAAGTACATTGCTTTTAAGGAGCTACTGGCAGTATAAGTGCAAACTTGCACATACTTGTATTTACATGGTGCATGACAACAACAAAGCTGAGGTGACATTTCATTTTATGAGTTATGACACAAACAGGCATAAATCAGATAAGCTTCATTTGTAAATTATTGAAGAGACAATTACTTTGCAACCAAACAAGCCACAGCTCACCAATACTTGTGATTCATGCAAGCCCTATAATATTACAAGTAGCCCAGACTAGGAATGAAGTCATTCGAATTGGATTGCAGCAGACCAACTAGCAACATAAAACATCTTCAACAAAGGCATGTCTAGATGCATCCTGCACCTCCATTGACTCCCCTGGGATGTGCCATACACCCTCAAAACCCTTCTCTACAGGGGAGGCCAAAAGGGGGTAAGCAAGCAGGGATTAAGGTGATATAGGAAAGGAACTTCACCATGCAACATCACAGGGTGGTGGGTGCTCTGCTGAGGGGCTCTATGGCACACATGGTTACTGATGCCCTGTGCCTTCATTTCTGGTGCCTTGCAAATTGTGGGCTTTGCCCTGGCTACACTGAGCTTGTTGCTGAGCAGCAGCTATAGGAAAGCAATTTCCAGCTAAGCAGCCAGCTGGAGTTTTGCGTTATAAGCAGTTTGATGCACGATTAGAATGCGTTACCAGATCTGTACATCACTAATTTCAGTGTGTGGGAAGGGCAGCTGAGCAGTGGTTGCTCAGCTGTAGTCCTGTCTCAGGCTGCTTTCCTGCATCCCGGAGGAACCGTGGAGCCAGCCTGGGGTGCAGTTATTCTAAGCACTCAATCACATGGTCTCAGGAACATCTTAATAAACTCTGACCAGCAACGCAGCCAACAGCTTGGCCTCAAAATAAAACAGCTACCCAGGATCTCAACACAGCAGGAAAAAGTGTCTTGCCCAGCCGAAAAGATAGGAGCTCTGCTACCCAGCAAAAATGTCCGACAAAACACCCTTCGAAACGGATATGCTGACGCTCACGCGATTCGTCATGGAGAAGGGACGCCGCGTTAAAGGAGCTACAGGGGAGCTGACGCAGCTGCTCAACTCCATGCTGACTGCCATAAAGGCCATTTCCTCCGCAGTCAGAAAGGCAGGCCTTGCCCACATGTGAGTCCTACCTAGAAATATGGGGAGGAAGAGGAGGTAGAGAGACCGCTGTTTGCGCAGCAAGGCTGGGGAGAGGACAGGGATTCATAAATATGTTCGAAGTGTCTTTTTTTTAAGGTGATTGACTGTAGGCATGAGGTCAGAGCCTGGATTATCAAGAGTGGGAAGTGGGAGATGTCTTTTTCAGGAGCATTTTGATATTGGGCACAAGATAGACATTTAGACTAACTGCTGTTCTGTAATATTTTACTCTAAAAATTTAAATCAGAACTTCCACCTCCTTATCCCTTGTCAATGTTGATGTTTATCTATTTTTACATCTACTGCGAATTTGCAGAATATCATACCATGATATTTTTAACGCAGAATACCACATGGTGATATTTTCTGCTAACACGCAAGTCGGGTGCTGAGCTGTGCAAATCAGGGCTTGACTTCTCTTGGGAGGCTGATGTTCTGCCTGACTGCAGTATAAGTAATGGTCTAAAGCAACAGCCCTGCAAGAAATGCCATATGCTGCCACGCATGAGTGCATTTCCCTTTCCTTCCTCGTGTAGTATCAGGGTTACAGGTAGGCAGTGTTAAAAGGCCCTATATGAAAAATAAACATAATGATTTGGCATCTAGTGGTTTAGCAAATGGAATGAAGAATTGCCTTAGCAAAGCCTGGAATGAACCAAGCTGTTCCTCACACAGCCAGGTAAAATAGACATAGG